AGATAATGACAATTTAATCCTGACTGGTTCAATTTTGTACAGGTCCATTTATGACAATTGTACTCTGAGGGGTATGTTAACCTGTTTCCAACAATTCAGGTGAGTAGTTTTCAAATATAACAGCATAACAAAAATAACAGTCATGTATTTCCTAAAGGATTTAAGTTAGGAACTTACACGTTCTTCAGCAATAGGAGATCCATGTGAAAGAAGATGGGTGAACAAGGCGGGCGAAGTGCCTATAGTGCGACGAACATGAAGTGAAAAATAAAATCTCAATTATATCAAAATTTTCTTTTATATTTCACCTAACATTTTAGTATACTTTATGTAAAATCTCTACAATTTACGAAAATCTCACAAAGACTGAAATTATTTGCATACGAAATAGCATACACACACTTAAGAGGACAAAAAGGATCATTTTCTCATACTTAAACAAAATTTTTCGATATGAGTGGGTCTTCGCTCCATTTTTTTGAAAGTTGATCCTAAAAGTTTGCATAAAAATATACATTTTTTGGTTTACAAAAACATGGAGCAAAGACCCACTATACCTTAAAAGTACACTTTTATGACAAAGCATTCGCATCTTTCCGAGAAATACTTGAAGTCCACTAAGTAACGGGTCATATCACAAACATGATTTAAATGCCACTATTCATCAGGATCTGTGTAGCGTAGTGGTTAGCGTGGTTAGTCTCGAAGCAATTTGATTCTCCGGATTTTTATTGTTAGGGGGTTCGAATCCCACGAATACCATTTTTTTTAAATAAAAGAATAATTTTTTCCGAGATCTTTTTTTCTCAGAAAAGTTTTGTTGATCATAATTCCATAAATTTCAATGAGAACTTTACTTTAAATACTTAATTCAAAAAATTGATTATGATTTTTTAAATATCTGAAGCTATAGGCATTCTGCACGCCTTGTTCACCCATCTTCTTTGTAACAAATTATGAGAAAAGACTTCTGGTTGTGTCCTTTTGTAATTAGACGTAGATCAGGCCAAAATAAAAAATACCTTTGTTTCCCCTAACGCGACAGACCCACTTAAATCGCGCCGACTGAAAAGTTTTTTTTAATAAGATTATTCAAATATTTTTTTTAATTGTTTATCAACTTTATAAAATACGATTTTATCAAAATCTGTTTTTACCAGAATGGCGGCTTTTGTTCTACTCTGATTTGGCGCCCACAACATGTGCTCACAAAGGGTTAGTTCGTGTTATAGAACAAAGGCGACGTATCGATCTTATTATATATCTTTAACTTATTAGAATCCTACACTCTTGAAACATTTCGTGAATTGAATATATCATGACTAAAGAGTGTTTCGATGGTATTTACAAATGTGTCTACTAAAATTAACGTACATGTACGTAGTAAGCATGGCAAAGCCTGCCTCAAGAGCAGATGAGGGGCCCACCTTGTGTATACATATCAATAAACTTCACTGGATTTCATTCATTTGGATCTAATAAACAGTTCATGTATGATCCTATTTTTACTATATGGGACCATAGCAGTTGTAAATATGTCTTTGTATATTTATTTCATCTTGATAAATATAATTCAGATGTCGTTTCTTCATTCCTTTTATTTATGGGTTAAACTTCGCGACTTTTAACAATAGATAAATGGCATTTTAATCATTTTTAGATATGGTTTGGTTGAATTAAATATTGTTTATACATGTACATTCTTTCCAAATAGTGTAGAAATCTTTAAAATTGGCTTATGGTACAGCCTCCTGAGAGGTCCAACGTATTTTTCTTTAGTTAGGCCCTTGAAAATAGGCTGTTTTTTTGCTTTAAAATCCCTATAAAATTGTTTGTCCGACAACATTTGAATATCTAATGGTGGAGGGCTCCAAATTTAGACTTTTACTCGGCACCTATGGCCATTGATCATTATGCATCAGTAAGGGATCTTTTTGATGCCAACATCTATACTACGGTCTCATTCGACTGACCAGTCTCCACATCCCACATCAGGAACTGTGACTTAGAATAAGCTCCTAAATTACGTCCTGACTCTAAAACGAAACACTCTATAATCACTGCGCCACGCGAAGCCCTTGACATTTTGCCTGTGTAAGCATTTGAAGATGATAGACTGGTAGGTTTGAAAAATATACTCGGATGTCCGATGGTTGAGTATTTGCGAATCTTGTCCTTTTGTAAATATTCGATTTCAATAAATTTACACTGGCCTGAGATATTTCACAAGTTCAAATGAATAATATTTTTGAATTAATTTACCATACTTGTTGCTTTTGAATTTCATATGTATGATACTCAGTTTAAAAATCGGTTTCTTTCGTTTTTTCTTATTTAAAAAGATATTATTCAATTTTTTAGAATGCATTTTCATAACTGCCGTCAGAAAAAAAATAATTTACCTACCTACCTACCCAACTTCAGATTATAGGGTCGGGTTAGGGGAAACAAAGATATTTTTAATGATGGCCTCAAAGACAAGATTTTATGTAACTTATTTTTTATATTTCTGGGAGGGATATCATTCTAGTTGCAGTATAAATTACACAGTGTAAAATCCTAAAAAGTTTATCAATTTAAAAAAAAAATTGTCCTATAATTCCATTTTAATTTTTGGCGCAAGTAGATGTTAGAAAGAGAGAAAAAGGAGAGAGAGATTACCCCAGGTATATACATGTAGCCCAAAGCAAAACTTTAAAAACTTTTGATCGCAAATGCTAGGAAGGAGACAAAAAATTAAAAAAAAAAAATTCCAAGCATTGTTTTCAGAACGGTTTAAAGCTGAAAATGTATATCTTTATCCATGTTCAAAAAACTGCACATTTAGAAAGAAGTATATGATTAATAATTACATGTAGCTAAATCAGGGTGTTTTGAATAGCAAAATCAAGCTACATGTATACCAGTATAGCTAATTCAGCTACTGCAACAGAGCTTAATCAATTTTAAGATTGTGCAAGACCTGTTTAATGCTTAAGCATTCTTAAAATATTTATATCATCATTCCTATTCAAGGAAGGGATACAAAGGAAAGCCATACAAAAAAGCCATACGAAGGGAAGTCATACAAAATATGACCAAAAGTCTATGATCTATTGACAAATAAACGTGTGTTGGAAGAGGAACCAATGTTAATTACAAGTGGGAAAAGGGATTAATAATCAAAATAATAGGAGTTTTCAACACTTAAGATCAAGCAGAGATAATTCCTTCCCCTCCCCCCCCCCCTTTCTTTCCCAGCCCCCAGATTGCTTATATACATTGTATATAATATACAGTACTTTATTTCAACATAAAAATTGTGAATCTATCTATCTATCTATCTTATATATATATATATATATATATATATATATATATATATATATATATATATATATATATATATATATATATATATATATATATATACGTCGGATTATAAAGAAAAAATGGAATTTTTAAAAACTGAATTTTATTGATGACGGGAAGATTTTTTACTGTTACACAGGTGTTTGACCTCATGCTCACTGTCGTCCTTCTAAAAATAAACAAATTAAAAAAAAAAATAAAATATTACATGCATATATGAAACGGTTTGTAAAAACAAAGTTTGTCAATATCAAATGCTTAAGAAATTTTTAGCGTATAAACAGTAGATTGAACAACCTCAGTTGTTTTTAGTAGGAAAACTACTAATTTTCACCAATAAAAATTGAAATTCTCGGAAACATACATATTATAATTAACGTTTTTTAAAGATGTTTATCAAAAATTACTTCCAAAATAATAAAACCTTTTTTATCTTAACGCAAATACATTCTTGAATTACTGTTTTGGATGTTAACTTTTTTTAGAGACATTCAACTATTCTTGTCTAATTAATTTTGTTCTGTCGAAAAAGTAATGGTCTTTCTTTATTATCTGACGCGAAACTAGAATCGATAATAAATTTATAATAGCTTTCATGGTCACTTTCTGATAAATTCCAGTTTACTGTCTGACCTCCATTAATAGTGTGCAATTTAAAACAAAAACCTTACGGAAGTTAATTAAATTTCTGCTACATGCTACTACGACTTCGTATGAAATAAAGATTCATGCATTTCTTTGCGAGAAGCGGTTTGTTTTCTTTTTATAAAGGAAAACATATTTTCTCTGATATCCATGCAGCAATTTCGGAACATTTATACAAGCGTTATTAAGATTTGCAGTGAAAAGGTTTTTAAACATGACATTATCATGTTTATATATATCGGAACTCTTAACTGAATATTTAATCGTTAAATATGTATGTTTCTATGTTAAAATCTTAAAGTTAATTGATTGTATGTTGTTTTAAGTCCCATTCCAAGTCGAGAAATTTTCACTCATATAGAGACGTCGCCGTATACCGGCGAAGGGCTTCAAATTTAGACCTATGCTCGACACTCAGGGCCATTGAGCAGTGAGGGTTTTAAGTTCTTATCCGAAAGACCCGCGTGACTTTCACTTGTAGTGCCGGGCGCTTGGCGATGGAACAGTCACTACCTTTGTGTACGTCGCAGGTTTGGCGCGGCGCGGCAAACGAGAATCGAACCCGGACCTCCCGATCATGAAGAGAACGCCCTACCACTAGGTTACCGCGACCTGTCTCTAAGAGTTGAAATTATCTTTTACTGTATAAATATGATGTTACGATGGTAAATATGTAAGCTACATAAAAAAAATTGTTATTTGGGAACATTTTTGTGGAATGACTGATTTACAGTCTTTTTCAACACGTTCTCATTGAACTAAATCTGCCTTTTCAATATTTCAAAATGAGTCCAGAATTATCAGTCTATGCATAAAAGCATTATCACAATACCTGCATTGATATCTTTAACTTTGTCATAGACATTCTCAGAGTCTCTACTTCCCAAAACGTCATACTGTGCGCTGTCAACACAATAAATGAATAATAAACTGTAATATAAAAAAAAAAATAGATACATACAAAGACATTTATCAAAAATTCTTCTCAGAAAGTTGAAGCTTACTTGTTCTCTTGGTGTGTAGTTTCTGCAACAAAGAAAAAAAAATAGAGAAACTAGTTTTTGTAAAGATTTGTTCGTAAATACAGGTCTATTAAGTGCTTCATACAGTTTACACAAAATCTATTATAAAGTAAACCACACACTTTCAGAGGTTCGATTTCCGCTATATTTCATTTCAAATTTCGAATTGATTGTGAAGTTTCACATTTGTATGTTTTATTCAATCAGTGAAACATTTCCGTCTCGTTAATTAAATGATGAGTTAAGTAGAACTGGTAATAAACCATAAATGACTGAGAAGCTACAAAAGTAACCCGTGGACAAAATCGTTGAGATATACCCGTATGTAATTAATATGCACAGGCCATTTGATTGGCTGCTGCTTAGAGTCCTCTTTAGACTGGTACCCTGACATTGCTTAACGGGCGCAATAATTCCTAGTGGCAGCGACTGGAATCATGGGCAGAGAACCAGAGAAATCTCGATGGCAAATCAACCAATCACAGTTTACGTTACGTATGAATTTTCGGCAATGACAAAAACGTTTCACACTTAACACACCCATTGGGGGGGGGGGGGGGGATCCACACATCTGTGCATTTCGCATTTGAGAAAGGAATTCTTATATTATTCCTGACTGGTACTTGATGCCCGTGATCTACACGACTTGTCTTCTATCGTTTTAAAACAAATTCGCACCTTTTAACGGGCGTCACTATTAGATTAAATAGCAAATTAACAAACATATTTTCAAAATTGAAGACTTCCAGCTTTCTGATTGGTTGTGTATAAGTAACGAATTTTAAAATATTTAACGTCATTTCGGCGAGTTTGCCCTCGGGTGATGAGTAAAAGACGAGATCACCCGCGGGTATCCGACGATGTGAAAAGTAAAGAAAATTATTAAATGAAATGCTACATAATAAGTGCCTAGCTTCCATCATATCTCTACATGCGTCATGCATTTACTAGAAATGGTGTATGAAAAACTATTAAGTGCATGTATGTAGCCTAAAGTCTTTTACCGGAACGGAAATCGACAAGCTTTTTATAAAGACTAAAATCAATCCCAGCCCTATAGGTTGGCGCTACATTTACACCCAAATGTTCCTTTATATTGGTATTATACTGAAATACATGCTATTGAGTAACGGCTTACTTCTAGCATTTCCGTCAATACCCTGATATTGGTGGTCATCAAAACCAGAAACATGCATGACGTAATCTCCATTTTTGCTGAAAAAGAATTCCGATTATCATTGGTTTATTTATCAAGTTTTTTTTTAAAATTAAGTTTGCATTAAAAGAATATACGCATATTTTTAATAAATGTCCTTTTATACCCAAGAAAAATTAATAACTAATTTTAATTGAAAAAAAATGTCTATAATGTAGACCGATGTTACATGTACACAGGCCAATATTTTGAAGAAAAATGAGTGTTTCTTCACTATTCTGAGAGAATCGCCTATTTTCATTTGCACTTACCCATTTTTCTCGACATGATTTCCTCCTGAAAAAGAAAAGAAATATTTTGGAGATTAATTAAATACGTACATACAGTCAGAATGCAAAAAAGCGTAAAAATAATCAGGATTGTTATCTTGATTTTTTTAAAAGTAAAAAATAAATAACGATAATAACAATTGCATTACTAAAACAATAACAACAACAATGAATTACGTACTACGTTTTTTGGAAAACTTGTAGAAAAATAAATATGCGATTAGTCCTGCACATATGCAGAAAAAAACTCCAAACAACGATCCAAAAACGATAGAAAGGTTTTCTGAAAAGTAAAGACTAAAGATATATATTTGAAATTATAAATAAGTCTGAAAAGTATTAAATCGACCTAAAAAAAAACTGGAAAGGATGAAGTCGGGACGAACATCTATGAGTTGTTCCTACATGTAATTTGAACATATATTCAATGTGAACTATTTCTTGACGGGAACCTTACTAACAAATGCAGATCTTTTGGCTAAACAGAAAGTGGATATGTTCGTTGGTACATCCGGAATACCCTGAATAGTAGGGCGCTCTACATTGAAATAACTGTTACAGATTTTAAGTTATTCAAATTTCAGATTCCCCAGCAATTCAAATGACAAATTAAAAATAAAGGTATTACATATAATTGAATTATATAATAAAACAGATAATGGTTTACTTTAAAGATTGTTGTGAAAGACCTCTGCTCATTTCTTGCTCAGTACAACTGTGTAATATCCAAACAACTCCGATAGTAGATACCTCCAAAGACTAAAAGCAAATGTAATACTGATCGTGAAAACAGTAATTCCGTATTCAATCAATAGAGTTATATGTATCTGAGGTCCAGTGCTAGTTCTTAGGAAACTCCTGGCTACAAGATCATAAATGAAATATGGAGATAACATACAGTATTCAAGCTCAAAGTCCATTAAAACAATACAAATCGAGATCAGAGCAAACACGGACCTCCAAAAACATCAGAGGTGGGATCAGGTGCCATGGAGGAGTGAGCATCCCCTGCCGACCGGTTACACCCGCCGTGTGCTCCTTGTCATGATCGGGAAAAAACGGAAAAATCCCTAGACAATTCAGCGTGTAAATAATGGCCTAACAATCAGTACATGTATGTAAAATGTCAATCAGCATTTGACTTAATGATAGGTAGTATTCGATAACAAGGTCTTTGTATCGAGCATAAAACTTGCGAAATGATGATTTCAAACGAGACTGTTGATTTCCTTGTTTCATCAACTTGACAAGTTTGTCAATAGCTTGCCTTGTTTTAGAAATTGTTCATACGTAGAGCATGCTCTTGCGTATCGAATCAACTGGGAGACAAAAACTCAATATGCAGGTGTTAAGGGTATATTTCTACACAAGTAAGGGAAGTTGACGATTGAAAAGTTGAAGTCATCACTGAGAACAGACTTAAGTCAAAATTTTAAATAAATGTTACGTCTAAAATAATTATGATAACCAAATAAATTTTCATCAATTGTTTTTATTTCAATATTACAAAAACATACAATTGTTGATGTTAACACGTGAAATAAAACTCAAGATACTGAGAATCAAAATTCTGAGTTAAGTCTATTCCCAGTCTATGGTCTTGGGGCCAGACATTTGATGTCTGAGGGTCAGCGGAGAGATCTAATCAATAGTTTATATTCAAGAATTACTGATTGTTGACTAGACCAGTAATTAACTTAAGTTTCGTTCACCTGAAAATGAATTGCACTTACTTTAAACTAAGATATTAATCTTGCAACAAGAAGAATGATAGATGGTTTGTAGTAAACAAGCCATCTTAGGGCACATATTTAACTTCATTCTCAGAGACTTTGGAAGATGGAAGATTCATATGGAGACCTTATACAAGATAGCCAGTATCGAACCAGTTTGGATATAAAAACACCGTATGCAGGTGATAATTGTAAATTTCTATTTAAGTAAGGGAGTTGATCACATTTAGATTTGTTGTTAGTTTGCCTTTAATGTCTTTCTTTATCTAAACATCCAATATGAAACAATATCAGACTCTATTGTGTCTTGTATTTTGAGTTCAGTGGAATTGAAAAGTTTTCATGTTTGCACCGAGGGTGTTTGATTTGGGCCACGTATATAGAGTTCAAATACAATCTCCCAATCCCCACTCGTTGTTATAAGTAGCAAACGTTGTGGACTCTTTAGCTTTCCGTAGTTTTTCTTAGAAGACTTGGACTTGGAACACACTTACAAAAATGAACATGGAAAGACAAAATTAAGACAAGATGCACTGCACCATATGTGTTGACTTTGGCCCGTTAGATTCTAAGAAAAAACATAATCAGAGCATAACTTGAAAACATTTTAACAAAGAAGACTTGAAACTTGGAACAGAGATCATTGAGATAAAGTTTAGATCCACTGCATTACAATTTTTGACTTTGACCTATTTCTTCAAGATCAAATAAAAAAAATGGCCAAATCTTGGGAACCCTGTGATTTAGGACTTCAAACTGAGTACATGCAAAGATGAGATTAAGATTAGATGCATTGCTGCATTTTGTGAAGTCTTTGACATTCAGACTTCAAGCATACAACATTTAATGGATATTAAGAAAGGATGAACTGCACGAAAAGATGATTTAAAACTTTACTATATAGTTATTTTGAGCAATATATGAAATGAGGAGAGAATCAACGATAATTTAGACTTGTCCTTATTATTACCCATATAATACTCTTGCATTCTTAATATGGAACGAAAACTTCCTGTGAAAAATTATTAAAGAATAGCAGATGTTCAGAACATGATCCTTCTTTTCAACAGCCATTGACTTTGATCTTTGAAACATGATTTACCCCAGTAAAGCTTCTAGGCAACTCGATATGATCTTGACGTTTAAGATTTGAATTATGACATATCTTAATGTCTTCAGCGACAAATATATATATACGTTTCAATTTATTAAAGGGCATTTTTTCACACTGAATTGCCTCCGATTACCAGATCATGACAAGGGCTCACGGCGGGTGTGACCAATCGACAGGGGACGGTTTCCCTCCTTGGTACCTGATCCCCTTTAATGTTTTCAGGGGTATATGTTAGCTCTGTTTTTAATTTGTATTGTTTAATTGGACTTTTGAGCATTATAGCTTTTGTTCTCGCAAGAGCATGTTCAATTCACGTACGAACAATTTCTAAAACGAGGCAAGCTATTGACAAATAGGTTGAAGATACAAGGATATCAAGAGTCTCGTTAAAAGTCAACATTTCGAAAATTCTATGGTCGATACAACGACATTAAGTAGAATGTTAACTGACGTTTTTCATACAAATTGTTAGGTCATTACTTTCACACTGAATTGTCTACGGATTTTTCCGTTTGCCCGATCAGGACAAGGAGCACACGGCGAGTGTGACCGGTCGTCAGGGGATACTTACTCCTCCATGGCACCTGATCCCACCTCTAATGTTTTAGTGGTCCGTATATGCTCTAATTACTGCTCGTTATCTTCATATTTCACTCAGAAGTTCTGGATGTACCTTATGATCTCAATAATACTGACCTCTAAAATATGTATTGAATCACAACTGTATCATGCATGTAGTCTTTAGCAACAACACACTTGAATAATATACAACTAAGTTCAAGAATTATAGCTTTAGCAATAATTTATTATCTCATTCTTAAGTGATCTTGAGCTTTTAAATCTACTATATACGACAATGGCAACTAATGAGAAATTTTAACAGATTCGAATCAAAGATTTTTGTTACAGATAGAACAGCTGAAGGGAAAGACTAACAAACAAACATGCTATAACCAAATATGTCTCGTACCGTTGGTGGACACACAGTTTGGTAAACTGTGAGTTGATATTATTCTTCCTTCTGAAATTAACAATAACAAAAAAAACATTAATGTCATACAAAATGGTGTGAAAATAAAGGTACAGATAAAGGAACGATGCTGACTAACACAGTAAAAACAAGAGGTCCATGGACAACAGTCCCAACCTTGGCCCTGAATATGTTAATGTGACATTTTTTAAAATATGATTTATTGTAGCCCTGATACTCTTAGGAAGATTTAACTTTATTTTATTTCCATGTAAACTTTGAATCCCTATTTTAGCCCCACCCTTATCCCAGAATATGAATCTGTATTCCGTAGGAATATTTGGATATGTCATGCTTGATTGTGGCACCGCTGCTTTTGACAAGATAAAAAATCTTAATCTTTTAAGTATATGTTTGATCCCTTATTATGGCTATATCCTATCTCCCGGGCCATACTAGTATTGAATCTGCACCAAATTGGAATGCTTGTATAATATAACTTACTAGTAAATTATAGCCCTGCTGTTAATGAGAATGAGTTGAAGTTTTTTTTTTTTCACAATCCATGACCCCCGGGGAAAGGGTGAGGCCAAAATGGGCGACAAAAGATTTATATAGGAATATATAGGAATAATCCTCTTCTCAAGAATAACAAAGCCATGGTTTGTTATTTTTTTTTATGGAAGTATGCTCAGGTAGTGTTGATTTGCGTTTTTTTCATTCATGAGCCCCGTGGCCAGGGTTGGACTACAACAGACGATCAAAGTTTAACATATGCATATATAGGGAAAATCTTTAAAAGAATCTTCTCAAAAACAGCAAAGCCATTATTGATCATATTTATATGGTAGCATCTTCAGTCTAGATTCAAATTTGTTCAAATCATGACCTATGGGGGTAGGGAGTGGCCATAATGGGTGATCGAGTTTTATATAGGTATTCAAAGGAAAAATCTTTAAAAATCTTCTCAAGAACAACAGTCATGATTGGTCATATTTATATGGAAACATCCACAGGTAGTGTAGATTCAAGTTTGTGCAAATCATGACGTCCAGGGGTAGGGTGGGGCCACAATGGGCGATCAAACTTATACATAAGAATGATAACAAAAAATCAATAGACATTTTTTGAAGAACAATAAAGCAATGATTAGTCTTATTAATTAAGTAGAAGTATCCTCAGGTAATGTAGATTCAAATTTATTCAAATCATTATCCCCAGGAGTAAGAAGGGGCCATACAGGGGATAAAAGTTATACAAAGGAATATTTGGGAAAAAAATCATTAAAAATTTTCTTCTTAAGAACAGCAAAGTCATGATTAGTCATTTTACCTCAGAAGTATCCTCAGATAGTGTAGATTCAAGTTTGTTCAAATGATGTCCCCCTGGGGTAGGGCTGGGCCACAATAGATGATCAAACGTATAGGAAAAATCCTCTAAAGCCTTGATTAGTCAAAGAAATATGAAAGCAACCTCAGTTTAGCGTAGATTCAAGTTTGAAAAAATCATGTGCCTAAATAAGAATCGGAGTTTGACACATTGTGCACGAGCTGAAAGCGAGGCCATGTTTGTCAATTCCTGACAGCGGCTTAGGCAAAGTCACACAAACCTAACACTGTTGTTATAACTATGCTGACTGTTGCATTAACAAGACAATTTAAATAAATCCCCTATTCAAACGCCAAATATCATTGATAATTTTCTTGCACATTCATTTATCAAAAGTTATATGAAATGCGTTTTCATGACTTGTGGAATGTATATTTAATTTACAATACTACGAACAGTAGATTTTCTCTTTAAATCCTTGTCAATAATGACACTTTTTTGCATAATATTTATATTTTGTTATGTGTCAAATGAGTGAAACTACTTTAAAATACCTAATATAATGTAACGATTTTTGTTGAGCAAGCGGTAGCGAGTTCAACTGACATATGATCAGGATTTCGATCCATATTGTGGGTGTTGTCAATTTTTCCCTAGAAAAGCATGATTTCTGTCCGTTTTGTTCATATTTCATTCTTAACTGGCTGTATAAATCCTTTGTTAATTGAGCTAAAAAAAAAAGATTGGTATTGATTATATAGAGACAAATATACAGGAAGCGTAATACCGTAATACAGTCCTGTTGTTCATTAGAACAAGATTTTTAAAAGACTGTTCTATATACGAAGTATTCCAAAGTTAAACTTGGATAGCTTATTTCAAAGTTCCAATTTCACCCAATGATTTAAAAGAACTGGAAACTGCAACACTTACATTACTTGCAAACATTCGATCCCCTTCTCAAGCTCTACCCGAGCCCGGGGTGGGGGGTGGGGGCCGGGGGCAGAATTAGAACAAAGAAGAAGGACGGTTGTAATATAAATCTAGCCCTGTATTTTTAGCTCACCTGAGCCGAAGGCTCAAGTGAGCTTTTCTGATCACATTTTGTCCGTCGTCCGTCCGTCCGTCCGTCTGTCCGTCTGTCTATCTGTCCGTCCGTCCGTCTGTAAACTTTTCACATTTTTGACTTCTTCTCAAGAACCACTGGGCCAATTTTGACCAAACTTGGTACAAAGCATCCTTGGGTGAAGGGGAATTTAAATTGTTAAAATGAAGGGCCAAGTCCCCTCACAAGGGGAGATAATCAAGAGAAGACAAAAATAGGGTGGGGTCATTAAAAAATCTTCTTCTCAAGAACCACAGGGCCAGAAAAGCTGAAACTTATATGGAAGCATCCTGGGGTAGTGTAGATTCTAAATTGTTCAAATCATGACCCCCGGGGGTAGGGCGGGGCCACAATGTGGAATCAATGTTTTACATTGAAATATATAGGAAAAATCTTTAAAAATCTTCTTCTCAAGAACCACTGGGCCAGAAAAGCTGAAACTTATGTGAAAGCATCCTGGGGTAGTGTAGATTTTAAATTGTTCAAATCATGACCCCCGGGGGTAGGGCGGGGCCACAAGAGGGAGTCCAAGTTGTACATTGAAATTAATAAGAAAAATCTTTTAAATTCTTCTTCTCAAGAACCACTTGGCCAGAAAAGCTGAAAATTATGTGGAATCTTCCTGGGGTAATGTAGATTCTAAATTTTTCAAATCATGACCCCGGGGGTAGGGCGGGGCCACAATAGGGAATCCAAGTTTTGCATTGAAATATATAGGAAAAATCTTTAAAAATCTTCTTCTCAAGAACCACTGAGCCAGAAAAGCCGAAACTTATGTGGAATCATCCTTGGGTAGTGTAGATTCTAAATTGTTAAAATCATGACCCCCGGGGATGGGGCGGGGGCCACAATAGGGAATTCAAGTTTTACATTGAAATATATAGGAAAAATCTTTAAAAATCTTCTTCTCAAGAACCACTGAGCCAGAAAAGCTGAATCTTATGTGGAAGCATCCTGGGATAGTGTAGATTCTAAATTGTTCAAATCATGACCCCGGGGGTAGGGCGGGGCCACAATAGGGAAACATTGAAATATATAGGAAAAATCTTTAAAAATCTTCTCAAGAACCACTGGACCAGAAAAACTTAAACTTATGTGGAAGCATCCTGGGGTAGTGTAGATTCTAAATTGTTCAAATCATGACCCCGGGGGTAGGGCGGGGCCACAATAGGTATTACAAGGGGGAAGTCTGGTAATGAACAGCATGGCCAAAGTTACTCAGGTGAGCGATGTGGCCCATGGGCCTCTTGTTTTTAAATATGAAACTGTTGTGAAAAATTAAAACATACGTTTTCTAAATTGTTCAAATTCCATGCAATAAGATCATACTTTTTCCCCATATATATTTATTCATTCATATGTATTCATTTAAATGAATCTCATTATTCAAAGTCAACTTACCTAAGGATATATTCAGATACTGTCTGGCTGTTCCTGTTTCACAGAGACCAGAATATCCAGACTCACACAGGAACTGTGTGTAGGTGTCATCACTGGTGAGGTTGTATGTGATGGTACTGGAACGAGTATACTGACAGCCAGCAGACAGTGAGGCCTCGGAGTGGATCGGGGTCTGTGGAACCCCCGTGAAGGTAAACTCTTGGGACTTCTTAGCACACCAACGGATTGTCTGCAAGATTGCATAATGTAAGATCAATTAAAATTTTAATTATAGAATAAGATTTTCTAAAAATTATCCATTCTAATAATGTTATTTACAAACACGTACAGAACTTGCGTCACTGCCAATCTGTCCAGTGCATGTCAGTTGTATAGCCGTGTTAACTGGAAACTCTCTCAATGCCGTGTTAGAAAATTCACCAAGTATCCTCACAGCTGGCATTTCAATCACTGTTGGATGAACTGAATTACAAAAAAAAATCATAAACACATTATAAACACATTATTATATTATTTATTGAAAATTATGTTAAATGTATGCTGGTAATTATAATGCCGCATTGTGGATTGTGTACATACCTGTATAAGTAACATAATCCTGACTTGTCTCTTGATTAACTGCAGCAGTTGTAAATCCAGACATTGCACACATGTATCCTGTGAAATCCCATGGACACAACACTCTGTCTTTAGGAATCGTTAACTTTAGCTGTGCTGTGGAAGGTGAGCTGACAGTTCCTATTGCTATTGCCCTGTTTTGTAATTCCATGTCCTGCCATGTTATAGTATCTTGACCATTACTTAAACGAACAGAAACCACATCCTTCATTGATTTAGTATTTGTATTGTTTTTTTGTAACAGTATGGTATAAACTGTATCCATTTGTGTTGGGTTGACGGTGGAACAAGTTACAACCATATCATCTTGCCCTAAATTTACAGATTGTGGTTGGATTTGAATTCGCAAGTTCTGTGCTGAAAATATATAATGAGTAGGAAGCAAATTATGAAACATTTTAAAGGAATCGGACTCATACATTGTGTGAATAGTTAGAGTATGCATTCTTATAAATGATATTTTGTAAGTTATATGTAAAATTTTTCGAATATGGAGTGAAATGTCTTGACTTTATATTAGCTGCAGAACTGTAGCGTTATGGTTTTATATATTAGTCTTTGACCATAACACAGTGCTGCAGCTAGATTTTATGTATGTAATGCGCATTTTGTCATAATGTTCAGCTACGTAACAACATAGTTGTATTTGTATAGTGTTATACTACTGTCATAATGCACACATTTTCTTAGAATTTTCATAGATTTTAATATTCAGTTTACATATCATATAAATATTCAAGTTTACAAATGTGATGAATATTCAAATTAAAATACCGGTACATACTTCCATTGCAATATTCCTTTAAAAGTTGAGTCTGTTAAGAAGGGATTCTTGTCTGGTTTCTGACTAGACGGAATATTCGAAATATATTTGCTTATATGTCTTATATATTTATATGAGATTTAAAAGGTCACATTTTTCTTTCCTCATCATAATTGTACAACTTAAATAGAAATGGTAAACTGAGATTGAAATCTAGCAGGGACTATATTTTGGCGGAACGGCTCCATATGAAAATATCTCCTTTTCTGCTTCTCAAAATTACTATAGAACAATGAATTTAGTTAAAATTTTTAAACAATCAAAGACTAAAAGAAAATATAAAATGTAAGTAAAATTAATGATACTGGACTGAAGTTTTAAAATATATCAAATAAATATGATTTTCCAAAAAAACTATAATTTAGTTAACTTTTAAAATCTTCCGATCTGAGTACAGATTTGAGTCAAAAATCCGTAAAAAGTGTTTTTTTTTCTCTTAGTAAACGGTCAAAACTTTTTGGAGTAAGGAGTTGATCCTTACGTCTCGGGTTCGAATCCCACTGTGGGACGTGGAGACCGGTCCTTCGGATGAGACCGTATAAACCGAGGTCCCGTGTCGCAGTAGGTGCTGGCACGAAAAAGATCCCTCACTGCTCAATGGCCATAAGTGCCGAGAAAGGGACAAAATTTGCAGCTCTCCACCGGCAAGTGGTGGCGTCTCCATATGAGTGAAAAATTCTCGAGAGGGACGTTAAAACAACATACAAACAAAACAAACAAACGAAACTTTTTCTTTTTGTATCAATTTGTATCTTTATATGACTACTTTACCATATGTGAAAATAAAAAAAAAATATACGAAGCATAAAAATAACTAATATTTCCTAAAAATTTAAGAAAAATAGGGGAAATTCGGATTAGCTAATATCTATTTTATCTAAATTATCTTTGACAATTTGGATCTTGAATCTTTGAAAATTTCATTCATTTTTAAATACAAGAAATATGAGAAGAATCCCTCCTTAACAGAACATATTAAGTTCAGATAAGTCTAAACTGCATCATTTATAATGTCAAATTTATTCACTACACATTTGTTTCTAAATCAAAAACAAAAAAAACAAAAACAAAAAAAACAAAAAAAACAAAAAACAAAACAAAACAAAAAAAAAAAACAAAACAAAACTAAATAATAATAATAATAATAATAATAAAAAACTATACGCTTGTTTATGATATTACGAGTTTGTTTTTTCAACATTGATTTCATGCAATCATGCATACGGCTTTGAAGTCAATTAAAATACAGGTATCCATCATGAGTGAGAAAAAATCAGATCACACTTGATAAATTGCTACAAGGGCGATTTTCATCAAAACTTTACCTTTTAATTGTGTTAGAATTTTAGAACCAGCTACACGTATTCTCTCAAGATAAATAAAATAAAAACAAATGTGCACATGAGAGTTGTGTTAAATGTTTGAATTTATGATAGAAGCCCTTAAATGATATTACTGGATAAATAAGATCGTACGTATTTTTTCCATACATTCAAATTTATTGGGTCCTACCAGAGACACAAATAAAGTTTTTTAAAATGTCTCCGGTGCAACTAACAATATTCAGAAAATTAAACTACTACAGACAAGATAAAAATAAATTCTAAAATTTTATTTTGTCTTTAGTTTTTTGTTATTGTACATTCCTGAAATGTTCAATTTCAAAGCAAGACTTACCGGTTGCCTAAACATTATGTCAAAGAATCTTACACTAGTTTCTTATAACAATGAAAAAGGTGAAGATAACGAACAGTGATCGATCTAAAAAAAAATCTACAAAAATACAAATCTGTGAACAGGGAATAAAACACGGATCCCGGAAATTCTACAGGGGTCAAGGTGCCTAGGAGGAGTAAGCATCCCCTGTTGACCGGTCACACCCACCGTGAGCCCTATGTATTAATGTAAACATTAATACATAGAATATTCCGTAGTCAGATTTATTATAAAAACAAAGGCCAAACAATTGGTATGAAACACGTCAGCCAAAATAAGACCCTAAGATAGTTTATATTTGATAACAAGGTCATTATAACGATCATAGAATTTACAAAATGCTGACTTTGAACAAGGCTGTTGAAATCCCTTTAACATTAACTTATCTGTCACTAGCTTGCCTCGATTAAAAAATTGATCGTACTTAGTGCATGCTCTTGAGTATCGAAATAGTTGGGAGACGTGAACACCATATGCAAGTACATGTAATAGCGGAATAACGACCATGATAGAATTTACGAAATACTGACGAACGCTCTAACCACTGCGCCACACGAGCGACGCAAGTGGCAGTGAAAAAATTTTGAGAGGGACGTTAAACATCATACAAACAAACAGAACGCGAGAGTTAGCCGCTACATGTAGGTGTCGTTTCTGCATCACTTCCGTAAATTCTTTGACATTTCCAAATCTTGTAGCATTTTTCATGTTTGACGATGAATTCTCGTATTATTGTGGAATGCCTGGGAAATTATATAGCACGATTAAAGAGAAAAATATCTACCGAACCAAAAATCATGACATATTATGGTGACATGAAGAAGGCAAATGATATTTAGACCTGATAACCAAGAGGTGTCCGATGTAAACAAATGGAAGTGACTTTATAATACCGCGGGTATGATTTTTTAATAAAACATGAATTCTACGTTATTTTTTTGGATTTTTCACATGGAATACATTGTAAATGTGTACTAGAAGATTAATTTATGAAAGAAGACAAATTAAAATATCTTTGGACCCGGGGTGTACATTCCGGGGTGGAGTGGGAGGGGATCCTGTCCGCAAGCACCTGTGTTTGTAGCATGTACTTTAATGTATGATTTCAAATAATTTCACTCTCAGAATTTTGAAGAAAAATTACAATGTTTTCAAAATCTTGATGTAAAAAGTAAGGACATATATCGATGTGTACGGTGAAGTTAGATCTAAATGAGTATCGAAATAGTTGGGAGACGTGAACACCATATGCAAGTACATGTAATAGCGGAATAACGACCATGATAGAATTTACGAAATACTGACGAACGCTCTAACCACTGCGCCACACGAGCGACGCAAGTGGCAGTGAAAAAATTTTGAGAGGGACGTTAAACATCATACAAACAAACAGAACGCGAGAGTTAGCCGCTACATGTAGGTGTCGTTTCTGCATCACTTCCGTAAATTCTTTGACATTTCCAAATCTTGTAGCATTTTTCATGTTTGACGATGAATTCTCGTATTATTGTGGAATGCCTGGGAAATTATATAGCACGATTAAAGAGAAAAATATCTACCGAACCAAAAATCATGACATATTATGGTGACATGAAGAAGGCAAATGATATTTAGACCTGATAACCAAGAGGTGTCCGATGTAAACAAATGGAAGTGACTTTATAATACCGCGGGTATGATTTTTTAATAAAACATGAATTCTACGTTATTTTTTTGGATTTTTCACATGGAATACATTGTAAATGTGTACTAGAAGATTAATTTATGAAAGAAGACAAATTAAAATATCTTTGGACCCGGGGTGTACATTCCGGGGTGGAGTGGGAGGGGATCCTGTCCGCAAGCACCTGTGTTTGTAGCATGTACTTTAATGTATGATTTCAAATAATTTCACTCTCAGAATTTTGAAGAAAAATTACAATGTTTTCAAAATCTTGATGTAAAAAGTAAGGACATATATCGATGTGTACGGTGAAGTTAGATCTAAATGAATAAGTAATCACTATGTTACATATATTAGATGCATGGCAAATTGTTAACCAAACGTTGACAAAAGACCAGCATGAAAAAAAAACAAATTGCACACAGTTTCCCTTGTTGAAGTGGATGTCTATATTGAAAAGAAAAATGATGTACAAAACTTCCATTTATTGCATAAGAATGAAAAACCTTTAAAATCAAAATAATTCTTTGTCTTTAGAGAAATCTTTACGAAAATTATTTACAAGATATTGTTATTTGTTAAGATAGACACACAGAATGTACATGTATGTTACACATGCATCACTACTGTATATGTGTAGACATATGAATGGCGAGAGAGTATCAGAATTATCATGTATATATTTGGTCACTTCTTCCTCTTGACAAGTTTTTGTCTTTTCATTTTTATTATTTTAAAATCTTTAAAAAAGCATGTGATGTGACTTCTTCTATCCTCGTTCCCAACACCACTTGTTGAATGGCATTTTGTTTATGATGGTTAAAACTAATTGAACTAGTCCACTTATGGGATAAACCTGGAAATAAAATAAGAAGGGAAACTTAACAAATTCATTGCTTTAGTGTTACCTGCCCATATACGATAGGTTATTTAAACAATGACATAAATAAAAAAAATCTAAAGATCGGGAATCGGGTTAAAAGAGCAAACTTTATTTTTAATTTCAGGCAATCAGAGGGCTTGGAGGTATGGAAATATATCTTGTTAAAAACAAAGTTCTTTTTCATTGGGGGGGGGGGGGGGGGTTAGGTCAGATCCAGCATCCGAAGCAAGTTCAGTAGTGTGCATCCATGCAAGTTTGGTCAACATAGGGCT